TAGTCAATTAATCCATTATTCATCGAGTGAACAAATAGATTATAAAATTTAACAATTAATTTAATGAAAAGAATTTTATAAATCATTTTAGAGAAATAAAAAGTCAAAAGCAAAATATTCACAGATTTGATAAGAAGGATCAGAGGAAGAAACTGATAAGCTTTTGAGCGGATCAAAGGTAATTTCTTCATTCAAATTCGGTCAATATCGAAGGCATATCGGTTAAATTTAAGATTATCGCGTAACGACTATTAATTCAAGCAGTTATTTGCTTAATATTTGCTTAATATTATACCATCACCATCATATTTCATTTTTAATGATTGTTTAACTATCAAGAGACAGGAATCGGACTCATGGACTGATTGCCTCCCAACGCTTAAGTTTAAATACTTCATTAAACTTTTTAAACAAAGACAAATAAATTATGCAGATGAAATTTAAAAAATATTGTAAAAATACTCGATTAAAAATTAAAATTTGAATTCAAGAAGACTGGAAAAATGCTCCTCAATGATATTTTATAGAAAGTAAAATTTATTACTTGACGAAAAGTAAAATAGTAGCAAATAAAATTAAACAGACGGATTTTTTTCTAGATTTTTCGAAAAAATTTTTGGCAAGTTCTTCTTGGTGCTTTTATCAGCCTTAATAACAATATCTATTTCTATTTGGCGACCGTTTACTCATTTAATGGAGGTATCGTATGTTTGACTAATTCCATGGCATTTTTCTCTAATTGCTTCGAAAGCACTCATAAAGAATCAAAAAATAATATACGATAGTGAATTGTTAAAGAATATTATGGTTTTTATCATGGTAAATTATGGATCAAATTAAAGCGATTTAAGGATTACAGCTAGTTAATTAATTTGCAAGAAAGAGCCAGTCATAAAATACTAATAGTAAAATTGAAAATTGACTTTTTCGTTGCAAAACCTTCTTTTCTCGTGCTGACAAATCTATTTGGCGAAAAAAGTGCATACGCTGCCAATAAACTTCTTAATGAGCGCATTTATTCGATAATGGCTCATAGCTCAGTTATTGCTCAATTCGGAGCGCCGATGCTGAGGTTCTATTTCCCGCAAGAGTAAACCTGTCCAAAAATCCAGTTGATGCTGACGACTCATCTGTACTTCTATTGTCAAGGGACGAACTGGTATATTTGCCTAGTGCGACAAGCCAGTGGGACGAGTTTAACCAGTAGTGGTGAAGACTCTTACAAAAAAAAGTACATATTTAATAAAGTATATAGCTAAAGCCAAATGAGCAATTTCCTAAAACTGAGGCCTATCATGAAAAAATATACAAAGCAAGCTTGGCGCCAATCATCTTGAATCATGTGAATAAAATTATTTGTTAATTTTACCTTCATCACCTTGTATTTGTATTTATATTTTGATCTACGAGTTATAAATAAATTTTATTATCTTTTGTATTATTACCTTTTACATAAAATTATAAACAAAACGCTTAATGTGAATAAGGGCCGAAATGAGCGAGTGGTGGAGTCAAGCTTTGATCACTTCTGAATACTTGAGTAGATTTGCCAATACAATAGAATCTGAACCGTTCGGATCACCAAGTGACTCACTTATAAGGAAATCAAACAAAACCAATTGAACCAGGAACGATGAAAATTATAAGGTTATAAGGTGACAACGAAGAGTGCTTGTTTAGAAATAAAAAATGGATTGATAAGCGAATTTCTCTTTTTTATAAATTATAATTCCTAAAATTACCTGAATAACAAAAGAATTATAGAAATTATTGATTATTTCTTCATTGATTTTTTATTTATAATTTGTAATTTTTTGTTTTTTATTTTATTTTTATTTTTAATTTATTTTTCGACAATGTCTAATCAATTGAAAGATTTCTAGCAGGCAATTTTAGAAATTTTAGAAATTATAAAATATCTTGCGAAGAATGTTGAATTTTCAATTTGCTTATAAGTTTGATGGTTTTTTTCTACTTGAAATGAAAGTGAAATTTCGATAAAAACTATAGAATAATAAATAAATTGAATAAGTTAACTTTACAATGAATGTCGAAAAAAATGATTCAAAATTTGTATTTGATATAATAACATTGATAATATTAATGTAATAATATTATATTATAATATGTTATAATATGTAATATTCAAAATAATATTAAAAGTATCTGGACGACAATTTTGTTGATACGAACCTGATAATTTTGTTAATAGAGGTGCATTTTCTAAGTGATAACAAAATCCTCATTTGAGCCTTACTGATTGTATTTTTCTGGTGTAAATTGTTTCTATTAAATCGATGACAAGACGTTCACTGAAAAAAATTTTTTTTTGTCAATTAAAATTTTTTCGATAGAATTTAGTGAAATGAATTTGTGAAATCCTTGAATTACAAATATATTTCAATATGGAATGAAAAAAATTGAAGAATGATTGCAACTATTCCAGTGGGATCCGGCTGGTGATGGGAATCCATCTGTAATTTTATTCCCAATCAGTTTTACTTATCTACGAAATGTTTTCACCCTAATATCATTCTAGTAGTGTGTACTCTATGAAAAAGTTTTTTTCTTTTAAAGACAAGGAATTTCGTGATCATTCGTAAATAATTAAAAATACCAACTAATTAGCCAAAAATTTTTGGAGCATTTCGATCACTATTTTAATCATTTAATCGCAATTTTAAATAATTTTTTTATTTATGAGCCTTGCAAATTGCTTTTCTTTTTATGATCATAATTTTATTTTTGCAAATAAATATATATAATTTATATTCCTTTCCTTTGACAATTTTGCAAGGAAAAGGAGATTTCATCATAAATAATTGTTGTAAACCAAAGTTATCCTGGGAATTTTTAAAAAAATAATTTATTACATCTATAATTTATGGAAAAAATATTTTCTTGAAAAAATTTAGATAAAAAGCTAAGAAGAGTTGGTTTTTCTTCTTCTTCTTCTAAGAACTCACACCATTACAGGTTAGAATGGCTCTAATGGCTATAAAGGTAAGATGCTTCCAAGCTGCGCTGTCTGAAACTGTCGGAAAAAGAACGTACTTTTGCGACCATGAATTGAAATATTTAATAAAAAAAAAATACTACACTATAATACATGAAAAATATTTAATAGGTTTCGAAGTGAAAACGAATATATTCAAACGAATAGTTAATAAAAAAAAGGGTGATGAAGCAAGGCGAAGGCGATTCTTCCAAAACATTGGTAGATCAAAAATTACATAAAAATTAATTTATTTTTATTCAAAAGAAAATTTTCTCATGGTTTTCTTTTTATTGATATGCAAATAAGATGGCTTTACAAAGTGGCTAACAAATGCGTGAACAAAGAAGAAAAATAATTTTGTGCGATTTCCATATTGTTGACTGCTTATGATGTGGAAAGATTTGTTAAAATCTTTTCCCTTTTTGAATTTTAAAAAGCTTTATGAATTTTACCGTATTACTATTATTTTGTTTTGTTTTCTTCGGTTGTTTGCCATGATAGATACCATGACTGACAGTAATAGTATTAACCATCCCTTTTTCTATCGTCTAAGTCCATATATTGCAGGTCCATCTACAGAGTTTGGCAAGTAACGAAATATATTTTTTTTCTCAAATCTTGTGGTGAACGAAGAACGTGCCCTAACCAGTGAAGGCAACACTCTAGGGTAATATTATTAAAGCAAGTGGTATTTGAACGAAGGTGAGTGGAACTCGCCACGCTCCATCACTCTCCAAAGCACTGCTCTATGAATCAAAGGCAGCCGCAAAGTCGATGAAACACATGACAGTGGATTGCAAATATCTGAAACGATGTTCCAGCATCCTTTTCAATATGAATATCTGGTCAGCACTCCGGTCTGAATCCAGCTTGATTAGGGCACATCTCATACTTTCATAAGTTTACTGAGTAAAAAGGAAGCAAAAATTTTCGTTGAAATTTTTGTTTAGTAGGCTAATTCCTTGACAAATTTCGCAGTATGTCCTATGACCTTTCTTGAGAATTGGGAACAGAATTGCTTTGCTCCAATCAACTGGTAATATTTCTTTTTCCCATACCAGAGAGTACGTTTGTTGAAGGTGTGTTATGAAAGGCGATGGACAACATTTAAAGAGTTCAGTCCGAAGACCATCTTCTCCCGGAGTCTTATTGGTCTTAAGCTTATGGATAACAGCTATCATTTCTTCTTTTGTCAGGGTAGTTGCTAGCATATGGTTCAGCGAACGTATCAGTTATATCATGGGCAACAAATTGCGCTTTATGGTTAAGTTTGGCCTCAAAGAATTTTTTCCATCTTATGAGGCGGTCCTCAATACTCTTGACTGGCACGCCATCGTTGCTCCTTACCAATTCACTGATCGTTCCTCAAGTAATTGCTTTGTGAAGAAGGCAGAATAGTTTCCTATTGTCGTCTAATCGAGCCGCCGCCTCCACTCTTGAGGTCATGTTATTCCAATAGTGATTTCTATCCCGCCTGCTTTCGTTGCAAATCTTCGAAGCATCCGGTAGTCAGAATCACCTGATATTTGTGCTTTGGCAGCTTTTTCAGACAATTGGACAGTTGCTTCCGATACCCAACTAGCGCACTTCCTACTAATTTTTCTCCGAATTTTTTAGTTTGAGATAGTTGAAGGAACTTGAAGGATGCTGCGAGTTGTCAATTTTATGCGGATCTTGGCTTGAACCATAACATGGTCAGATCCATGAAGATTGCCTGTTTTATCCGCGATAAGAACGACTATCTAGTACGGAACTCTTCCAACGGCGACTGACTAAGATATAATCAATCTGGTTGAAGTGTTGGTTGTCCGGAGAGTTCCACGTGACTAGATGATTTCTATGATGCCGAAATCAAATGTTAGTAATAAAAAGTTCATGCTCTTCGGCATAACGAACGTTCCCCATTGGCACACCGGTCTCCGATGCCATATTTGCCAATTGTTGAGGTCATCGCAGTTGCATTATGACCTACGCGAGCATTCCAGTCTCCCCCGATTTCCACTCAATCAAAGCGGAATGGATCTTGTGAGACATGAATCGCTACGCCATTTCGTCCCGAGTTATTCGAAGCATCACAGTGATATAGCCAGTATCTCTGCTCTAAACCAGGATTAATAATTGCTCGAGATCCAAAGTAAGGAACACAAACCTTTGACAAGCGGACGATATCCACACGATAGTTAGACAGGGTGTGGACAGTGATCGCTTGTCTTGCAACGTCCACAAGCGTTCTGACGTTCCACGCTGATACGGCTAATACCTCGCTGCGCGTGCAGAAAGCTTCCTGTGTTCCTCTTGATAGGTTTCGAGCCAGTACCTTTGGTTGCGAGCACATTTTATTAATCAGCCTTAGGATCGTATACTTATCTCAGATACCACCAGGCTGGGCGTGTCAGAAAACGCGGATGCGTATCGAGAATATCTGTCCCTTCCACCATTCACTTTGGGATAGAGTTACAGGTGGGTCCCAAGCAACCACCCGGATTTTTGGCATGACAGGTTTATTCCCGTCAAAGACAGATAGTTATTTTAGACAGTTATTTTATAAATATTATAAATTATAAATATATATATATATAATTTTTGTTCCAATTCTGAGATTTTAAATTTAAAAAACTTAAAAAAACTTAGCTCGTAGTTTATAGAAATTCGAAAAATATTCGAAAATAACAGTGGAATAAAAATACAACCGCTCAAGATTGAAAAATTGAATAATCATCTGGTTTTTAAGATTTATTTTTTACTTAGTTTTCATTTCGGTCACAATTCTATTGTACTCCCTTCATAATAAAAAAGAATGAAAAAAAACAGTTAATCTATAAAAAAAAGTGGCAAAAATGGGAAAAAAGTTGAAAAGACAGAAAATTTCACCTTTTTTGATATTCATCATCGAAACCAGGCAAAAATTCAACAATTTCAGTGGCCAACAATAATGACAAATCCTGTTTCTTAATTGCATCCATGAAATTTTTAGCGTTAATCCCACCAGATACGGGAGTGCCAACAGCTGGAGCGTCACATGGTGAAAATCCATCTATATCAATACTCAAACCAAATCCAATTGTCTTTCTGAAAATTCTCTTATCATTGTTTTTAGTTAAAATCTTTATAATACCTGGAGACATACTTTGAGACAATTTCAATAGCTTCTTTCAGCACATCGTGTATTCCTCTTTTTTGCACTTGTTCCATAAAAAATATTCGGACCCCAATTTTTTCAAGCAATTCCTATAAAATATTTTTATCAGGAAAAATGAAATTAAATATCTCATCCATTGCAGTTGAACAGAAAAAAATGTCGAAGATCTTAGACGACTGAAATGGTTATGAATCAAAAACATTTGCTGGAGATGTAATTTCAAAAATCCCAAACAAACAATTTCAGGTGGTTCATAACTTCGCACACCAATAAATGCCAAATTTTGAGGATGTATTTTAGCTTTATTATCAGCAATCTCTTTCAATTCAGATGCACCATATCCTAGCAAATGCGATACAGGCATTCCATGGATATTTCCAGTTTCACTTGTCTCTGGTTGATGCGAATCCTTAAAACGTTTGGAATTAATTCTTCAATCGTTTTCATTGCTCAGCTTCGCTTACTTATTTAATTCCTCGTATTTTTCCATTGTATATTATTATTATCATTATTGCTATTATTCTTATTACGACAATCCAAGATAACACTCTTATCTCTTATCTATCCTGCCTCACGTTGCCATTTAGCAAGAAAAAAATTTATTTATTTATTTATTGATAACCAGCCAAGCAGGGCGACAACGCCATGTACTTGTATTAATAATAACAATTAAAAAGAAAATACAAAAAAATAATAAACAAAATTAATTATAAAACAATATGACAAAAATTAACAATTTAAAGAAAAAATTACAGATCAATATAATATAGTACAGTTCGAAGTAGCATATATAACCTGAAGATAAAATCGAGATTTTTCACTTCCTGCAGTTCTTGCCTGGTGTAAACTCTTCTCTTTTTTTTTTTAAATAATATCGTAAATATTATCTAGTCTTTTTTTAAAGACAGCTAAGGATGACGAACAAGCCACATCGTTCGGTAATTTATTCCAGTAGTTAATAGTACGAATAAAGAAGTCATGAGTCCTTAGTTTAGTTTTGCATATAGGTTTTAGTAATTTTAAGCCATTAGTTCTTGTTGGATTCAAATTTAGTCTAAAGTTATAATATTGCGAGCAATCTAGTTTAACATAACCATAGAGAATCTTATATGTGTAAATTAAATCTTGTTTAATACTACGAACTGAGAGAGAATCCATGTTATGTTGTTCTTTTATAATTAAAATTATAATTTTTATTAGGAGAGAGCCGTAGTAGAAAATATTTTTGGAGTCCATCGAGTAACATGTAGTATTGTAGTCAAGAAGAGGCCGAACGAATGCTTTGTATAATTTGATAAGAAAACTTTCAGTTTTGTTCTTAAACGAACGAAAAATAAAATTTAGTATCTTGAGGATTTCTTTACTATGGTTCTGCAGTGAAGATCGAAATCGAAATTTTCATCCATGATTATTCCAAGATCGGAGATGTGTGAGACTCTAAATTACTATTTATAAAAAGGTTAAGAAGATCGAATCCTTTAGAGATGATGTGAACGCTACATTTTTGAAAAGAAAGGGTAATTTGCCTGTCATATAGCCAGTCAGCTATTCTGTTGAGGTCCTCCTGCAGTGGAGATAGGCTATCCGCTCTACCATGAGAATAATAAATTTTACAATCATCAGCATAAAGATAAATAGTAGAATTTATTACCACTGTGGTGATATCATTTATATATAATAGAAATAACAATGGCGCAATACAACTGCCTTGGGGTGCCTGATTTAACAGGTGTCATGTCAGAAAGATATGTTGTTAGCATATACAGCCTGGTAACGATCTTTTGTGTAATCTGACACCCAATTATAGAGGTCCCCTCTTATGCCATAACTATTAAGAGTGACCAATAATTTGCTATGGAAAACAGTATCAAAAGCCTTAGCCAAATCTAGGTACACAATTGATACTATTTTTCCATTGTCAATTGATGCTGACCAATCAGAGAGATATTTGCCAATATTTGTGAAGTAGATTTTTTTACAAAAGCCATGCTGATAAGAAGATATAAAATTATTGGCATCAAGATAAGTAAGAAGTTGCAAATCAACCTTTCAAGTACCTTGCTACCAACATATGTTAAGCTAATAGGTAGGTCTGTAATTAGAAGCGTCATAGGTACTTACTTTTTTATGAATGGGAACTATATATGGGACAATTTCCAAATTTTGGGATTAAGGCCAGGCTTCATAATATCTTTATAAATTAAAAATAGGGAAAGACTCAGAGAGACGCATTTTTTATAAATTATTTGTGGAATGTTATCGGGACCAGCTGAAATGAAGCCGAGGCTTAAGTCTATTTAAGGCATCATAAACATCCAGCAGTGTTATTTCAACCTCGCAGAGAGAAGTGCAACAAATTCGATTTACTTTAAAACAGGAAGTATGAGTATTATGATTTGCAATATCAATATTAGAGGTGATCACATTATCATTATGTTGCAGAATTAATTGTTTGCGTGGATTTGCAAATTTTGTTTTGATATAGGTCCAGAAAGAATTTCTATCAATATTTAAAAGTTGTTCTTCTTTATTTGAAAAGTAATTATGAATGGCGCTACGGAAACTTTTTAAGCTTTCTTTATATGCAGAGAGGTCATTTGGCAATTTGGTTAATTGATATTTATTATAAAGCTGCTTGACACTTTTCTT